ATTATTATATACATTAAAAATTATTAGGTATTTAGTTTTAAACTTTTAAAAATTTCATGAAAAGTAATTTTTCCAAAAAGATAAAATATTTAATAACAAAATCCCAGCATCAAATTTTATTTAATTATTTTGTTAATTATATTTAAAAATTATATGTTTATGCCACCAACTTTTATCTACTAAATGGAAGGATCAAATGCTAAAAATGAAAGTTGAGGGATGAACCAAATCTGTTATAAAAATAAAAAAAACGTTTGAGAGACCAAATTTGTTATAATGATGTAAATTAGTTTGAATGATCAAATATGTTATAAAAGTAAGGAGTTGTTTGTTTATCTCTTAATGGTTTCATTAAGAGACAATATCTGAATCGTTAAGAGTTGAATCTTATTTGACAAAAAAAGTCTGCCTTTTAATGATTTTAAAATCCTCTGAATGATTTTGTATCTTCAATCTCCTTTAACCATTAAGAGCTCTAATTTTATTGTACATAATTACAAACAATTATATTTCATTTTGCACTATATCATGAGAGCTTCTTAATCATTTTGACCACTTAATCATTCAACACCAAATCATTCAGCAATTGTCAAACAGCCCCTAAAAGGTGTATAAGAGACCAAATTCATTATCGAAAATTGAAGTTAAAAAAGAGGAAAGTGAATAGACAAAAATGTCCCTCACTAACGGAAACTTAACCGAACCACTTTAAGTGTAACCAAATTTGTATTTAATTCTATAATTAATTAATTAATATCGTTTAACTGTTGGCTACGTCATCATAAAAAAATCGTATAAACAACTTGTATGCCAATGCCAGCATTAAAATAAATGAAAAAGGAAGGGACGAGTGGAGGGTCCAAAAAGTAAAAGCAAGTTTCCTCCAAACCACTTTGTAGGCAAAAAAAGCCCTTAAAACCCGATTCCCATTTCAAAAGCAGTCCAAATACTCTCTGTCTCAACTCCAACGCCTCACTCTGCTACTCGTTAATGGCGGTCTCTATCTCAGTTCTCGTCCTTATCGTTTCCTTTCACCTCATGGCCTTCGTCCTCGCCATCGGCGCCGAACGTCGACGTAGCACGGTACTCAATTTTCTTCGTTCTTACATGTATATCACTAATTGAAACCTGTACTTCATTTTTCTTTTTTCTTTTTTGTTAATCAAAAGGCGAAAGTGGTACCGGATCAGTATGATGAGTCTACTTACTGTGTCTACGCTTCCGATGCGTCGACGGCGTACGGTCTCTCTGCGTTTGGATTGTTGCTGATTTCTCAGACGGTTGTTAACGGTGTTACCAAGTGTCTGTGCTTTGGTAAAGGTCTTGTGAGGGGTAGGTCGAGAACTCTGTCCATCTTCTTCTTCATTTTCTCCTGGTGAGTTTTATCTTTCACTTAATTGATCATCCTCAATTAGTCGTCCCAAACTTATTCTCTAGTTGTTAGATTCTGAGTGCTGTTTGAACGGCCTGCAGTCATCTTCATGTTGCCGATATTCTTTTAGTTAGGGTTGAGTGTGGGTCCCTCGTGTGCTTGTTTGGTTATACTCGTTGTCACGGAGTAATGAGTAATTGAAACAAACTCTGTATGTTCACGTGTTGGGAACATTAGGGCTAGACTGTCAATCCTTAGCACCGTCCAAATGCTGGCCCAGCACATGGAATTGAATCTATTAATCTTCGATATGAAACTTTATTAGGAATGGTTGCTTCAAACATAAATACGTGGTACAACTATAATCTTTCTGCTTGTAAGTCATCATGATATGGTTGCACTAGATTCTATCATTTCAGTACCATAATGATTTACTTTCAATTATGTTTTGCAATTTTCGTTTGTTTGAGTTCTAAAGTTGAAACTTAAATCTGTTGATATTGATTGAATTCCAACTTTTTTCCTGATCTTGTATCTACAATACATGCTATGGATGCTTGTACAATGAACTACTTCTTCTTTGGTAGTCTTGTGTGGTACAAGCATCCATTGCATTTTTCTAATTCCAAGATGGAAATAGATCTGTGAAATGTAAACATGTATCACTCTTCACTGAATGATGAGCTATAGCTCTCTAATGATCCCATCATTGTCCAATTATCTAGTGTGGATATATCAGTTTAGGGCTTAAAACTTGCAACTTAAATATTGCGAACTTGAAAAACTTTCTGAAAGAGCCTGTGTGACTGATCCAGGAGCTCATGAAGTGTCACATGACAATTTCAAACTTGGATATAAACTAAAAAGGGATAAGACTAGATATATGGCCAATGTTACATTGACTCGAAATCTTGATCAATAGAAATGATAAAAACCAAAATACTTATTGAACCAGAGATTAGTTTGACCACACAATGGATATATGTCATATGAGTTGCAAAAAGCTCTTAAACCTCCCAAATAGTTAGAAATAGAAAGTTATAAATCAGAGTATAACAATTTCTGTTCTTAGAAGAATATAGGTGTATATTTGTAATTACTGCAATGTACATGTGTTTATAAAGTATTCTAAGAATTATTGGGTTATTGGATAAATAAAAAGTAGTTATCAGATTAGCAAATCAGATCAATCTTTTAGAAATATAATATTGACAATCTGATCTTACAGTTAGAGAACCACTGCAATCGCCAGTTTCAGATATATGATATCTTTTATTAAGAAAACATCAGTTGGTGAGCCTAAAAAGAGTGTTCATGTAGTATCATATTATGAATATCTGTAATTGTGATCATTGGTTTGTGTGCTGTTATTCGGTAGTTAAGTCAGATGACATGTGATATGATATAAAATATTGGTGAGACTTCGATATTAGGCCCCAATTTCCCAAAAAAAAAAAGGTCTCTGGTCAATCCATTTTCATTTACAAGCAATTTGTTGGGTGATAGAGGAGGTGATGCACCCTGATCAGAAATCAAATTAACAATCCATATGTAAAATCATGTACCCGTTCATTTACAATCAAATGACGTTAAATTTGAATCACCTGGTCTATACTATTGGGAGATAACATAGGGAATGAATGCAGTATCTGCCACAGGTCAATTCCTGCGTTATAATTTCTCCTTCCCCATTCATGATTTAATGCACTGCAATACTGCATCAACTGTTATGTAACAATTTATAAGGTTGGACCTCAAATGGTAAACCTAACCTAGTCCTTACATCATAGGCTACCATGTTTTATTTTCAAGAATTGTACTTAGGGTAATATATTCTGTATACCATGCATTTTACATGATTAATATGTTCAACAGTTGTGCTTTGTAAATTCTCCAACATCTTATCATGCGGAATGTATTGCAGATGCTAGTCATAAGGTTCACCTTGCAAGAAAGAATGAGGATATTTAAAATGATTTCACATCTTTTATGCATGTTATCATGGATTCAAACACAAGTTCTTTTGATATTTTTGTCCATGCGGTAAATATTGCACAAGTGTGTCATATCGTTCACTTTACCTTTCGTGTAGACGTGCATGTCATGCATTCAATTTTCGTGTATCACATTTATACTAATGTTGTACTGCTGCTGAATGCATTGGATGCACATTCATACTGCACAACAACCATGTGGGGGGTTATTTTAGGGTACGAAGCAGAACCAAGCCTCCCAGTTTTCCCTTCCAAATTATTCACAGAATCTTTTAGGGATTTAGAAGATTGAAGGAGTTTTACAAAGTTGTATGCTTGTGACTTCAATAATTACGATTTCCTTTTCGTGTAGAGTGTATGAAACCAGTTCTCTATCCCAAAATGGCAAAATGTGTCGTAGAAGAGCAATGATCAAAACCTCCCTACCTAATAAGCATTAATTAGTTATTTATTTATCTTAATTTGTACATGTGAACAGGGTTAGCTTTCTAGGGGCCGAGGCATGCCTACTGGCGGGATCCACAAAAAATGCTTACCACACTAAATATCGAGGCATCTACGGTGCAGATCTGTCTTGTGACACCCTACGCAAAGGAGTGTTTGCTGCTGGGGCCGCCTTAACATTCTTGTCGATGGTGGCATCCATTGTTTATTATTCAGTCCATTCCAAGGCAGATACGGGTGGATGGGAGAAGCACCACAATGAAGGAGTGGGTATGACGTCTTCTGGTTTCCCAGAGAATCGAAACCATGGAAATGCCGGTCAGTTTGAAAAGCTTTGATTTCATTAAGTTACAACGGCTATAATTTCGTTAATAGTATCATATTGTAGAAAAAGGAAAAAAAAAAAAAACACAAGATTATGTTATGTTTAAGCTTTATTAAAATGAAATATGTACAACTTTTATATTGGTAAGTTATTATTAAGACGAATTTTGGTTGGTATCAGGGGCGGATGGCCATAGGGTCCTTGGCCCCTGGGCTTTTTTCCCGATCGAGTGAATTATCTCCGATCCATTAAGGTTGTAAGTATAAAATTCTTTTGGGCTCCTCCACTATTGTTGATCCAGACCATCTGTGTTCCGCTTCTGGTTGGTATTTTTATAATCAAGATCATTAATTGATGCATAATGTTATTGTAAAACGAGACAAAGAATATATAAATGGAAGTAGAATCTGCATATTTTGATGTCAGGTCAAATTCCAAAACCTTGTGCATGGATCATGCTTCCCTTGCTGCAATTTTCAGACTAGCATCTGTTACAAAATTTTATATACTTGGCCTTTATTTTGTACACAATTTATGATATTTTTGGTTTTAAAGTTTAACTTCTATACAAATTCAATTCTTTTTCATGATAATATTATGCAAAACAGCCGGATTTGGTAAACGAGTTAATTGACCAATTATAACTTTTTTGGACAGGTTGATACTGATTTAATGATATATATTATGACTTGTTCAATAAGCTTATATGGGGAGGTTTGTGTAGAATGTCTAGTTTTTCCAAACATGCCCTTTCCAATTAAAAAACATGTTCATTCCATCTATGAAAAATCTTCCTAAATAAAAACATTCTCAATCTGTACATACAGATCAATCTATACATACAACTTTATGCATACATTACTTAATGGAAAACCAACCAAACAACCTCTTCGAATCTTATATGGGTTAGATTTGAATCATTTTTCTTCTCTCCACAAGGATTCTTTTCGTAGAATAATCTAACGATATTCTACATATTTTCACAAACTGGTCCATAGTATTTGCAATATTTCATGCTAAATTTTCTTTTTAGAGTCGGTTTTTTTATCCTTCAAAGAAAAACTAATATATCAGCATTAGCTCGAGCTATATTACCATTTATGTTCAATGTTACCATTGTCATTATTTACATATATAATTTGTTGATATTTAAATAAAAACTTTATCCATAATCTTCTTATTTTAAAGATTTTCAGAATGATACCATAAATATGTTCAACGCTTAACAATGTGTTAAACTGGTTCGACAAGTTTGTACTTCGAGACATAGACCCATAACAAGAAATAACATATTTGGCCAAAAGCAATCACAAACCAATCCCTCTCTCTCATTTCTAGTTCTAGCACTTGTAGCAATGAGACAATTGATATGATTATGAATACATAAATATGACTGCTAAATACCCTAAATTGAACATAAATGGTAGAAGGAATAAAAATCTTCTTGTGGTCAAAGAGGTTCAAATGTGGTGACTCCGGGCTATCTGTAAAGCAGGTGGTCGTCATGGGATTAATCGGCTCGCATAACGAGTTAGATATCCAGGTTAATAAAAAAAACTTGAATTGAGAAATTTTTTTGATTACAATGGATTTTCTTTAATCTATTTTTATCAATCATACTGAAAATGCAAAATGATGTTGAAAATATAATTGATATAATTTAAAAAAAAACACTAAATTTAGATATAAATTATAGTATTTATGTAATCGATGTATACTTTAAATCTTTATTTACTAAGGGACCGTTTATCAAAATTTAGGTAAGTAATTTATGAGAAGAGATATCACCTTATTTGTTTTATCATTTAACATTCTTGATCATCAAAATGAATTGTTGGTCAAGTATTTTAAACCAGGTGAACTCTTACCGGGTAAAAGTCTTTTCTCTCACTTACTGGGTAAGATTCTTCCTTGCTACGTTAAATCGATAATGATGTCAGTAAACGTTTATCCGGTAAGCGCTTAGTAAACGACCTCCAATCTTTATTTTGAAAATAAATAATATTTAATTTGGTCCTTCTAAAAAAACTAATTATTCATATTATAAAAATGTAGTAATCCATTCATACAATTTTACTAAAAAAGGAATCAAAGAGGATAGACAAACAATTTGCAATCCCCAAAAGCCATTTCAAAGTCATCCCTTTCTTCCTTTTCCAAACCTATCTTCATTACAAAGCTTAGAACCTTCTTATGACTATATATTTGACACATAAATATTATTTTATGGTACCAAATACATAGAATTCCAATTAATTACAACACATTTACCACATACATATGTCTATATCACATTCTTCCGACTCTGACGACAGTATCCGAGAAAATGTGGCGACAGTCAAAAGATATTTACATTCCACCATCGGAAAAGGACAGGGTATTTTCTAATACATGATTATTATTTTTTAAATGTTTGACAACATGTCCGTACTTTTGAATTCATCAGTAATTGGGTTTTTTTTTTATTATGCCGTCAACGAAAAGTTGCATAGTTCTACCTAGATGTCATGGTTCACCAAAAAGCTTCCATTGTTGGTTCGGAAATAGAGTTAATTACCCTTTGAGTCCCTAGATCCAAGACTACTTTTAATTTCTTAGTTGTTTTTTAAGATTACATCGAATTTGTTGAAGTAGACACAAATTGGCCCGGATATATATCAGGAGGTCTCAGGTTCAAATTCAAAAAAGAATAAAAATCCACTTATGGCCACGGAGGTTCAAATGCGGTGACTTCGGACCATCTGCAAAGCAGGCGGTCGCCATGGGATTAGTCGACTCGCATAGCGGGTTGGATATCCAGGTTAATCAAAAAAAAAAAATTGCTCATATATCCAAAATTAACAAAAATGAATGGAGTTCAATTCATTTATACCCTGAAAACTGAAATAATTTAATTTTAGGTTATTTAATAAAATTACAATTTTTTTTAAAAAAAATTCGAGCTAATGTTACTTATCAAAGCCCGTAATCGAGTAGGACCCTCCATAGCATCAGGTTGTTTATTATTGTTGTAACAAACAAATCAATGGTATTGATTTGGATTCTGAAGCCTTCTTTTGTCCTTGTTGAAATATATTTTGGATATTGTGACAAATTATTTACCCCATTTGTCCCAAAATAAGCGTTCACAATGAAAAAATACACAAAAAAGTGTACTGTTACACTTTTGAACTAATGATATTTAGAGGGAGTAATTAATTTCTACATCTCATAATTAAAAACAATTCTATTAATGCTCCCTTTAGTTCTAGAAATGCTAAAACCGACACTCAAGTTATTCTTATTCAATCTACCTCCCACCTCTCTTCCTTTAAAACCGTTCGATTCTACCTACAAATGTTTTGCCAATACGATGTGCCAGTTCCTACCACTGACGTAAAGTTTGATGCGTGTTTTCAGTAGCGGACGTGCTTTTATGGAGGAACACGAGACTATCAGCATCACTTTTATTAGGGTTTACTGCGATGTGGTTTCTCTTCGAGGTTTATGAGTATAATCTCATCTCTCTTCTGTGTCACATCGCTATTCTTGCGATGTTGATCTTATACATCACCTACACCATAGCAAAATTCACTCAATGGTATAACGCTTGTGCATTTTGATCTCTTATATGAGCAAAGTTATTTAACTTTAACTTATAAAAACTGTGAAAATAAACCACAAGGGTGGTGTCTGATTGATTTGAGCTTGGCTCCAAAGGTCAAAAGTACCAGGAGGTCCCAGGTTCAAATCCAAGGAGGAATAAAAATCCTCTTGTGGCCACGGAGGTTCAAATGCGGTGACTCCGGGCTATCTGCAAAGCAGGTGGTTGCCCTAGGATTAGTCGGCTCGCATAGCGGGTTGGATATCCAGGTTAATAAAAAAAAAAGGTGTGAAAGTAGTTTTCATTGATGTTGGTTAAATTTCCATTTAGGGATCTTCCTGATTTCGAAGAGCTGACCATACAAGAATCGGCATTTAAATGGTTGTACAAGAAAACAAATAGTCTGTTACTCAAATTCTATTATACATCAAGCGGGGAAGATCTCACTCAGTTTTTCTTGGTATGTGCAAAACTTACGTTGAACTGGAAACCAAACGGTTGAATAGATTTTCGAGTGAAATTTTTTTTTAATACGTTTTGTCTTTTGTAGACGATGACATCATTATGGATGATATCAGTTATTGGAAGTTATTTCAGTTCTTTAAATCTTATTTACCTCTGTAAGTTTTTACGTTCTCTTTTTATAATATTCCAAACACTGTGAAAAGAATTCAACTTAATTATTGTATCTAATCGTGTTGTAGGCCTTATTTGCATTGGAACCTTGCCGGCTCTTTACGAACGATATGAGCACGAAGTTGATTATCTTGCAAGCAAAGGAATTAGAGACATGAAAAATACGTTGAAGCAATTCGAATTTAACGTACTTAGTAAGATCCCAAGAGAACAAGTGAACGGAAATAAATGGAAATAAACTTGCATCGTTTATCATCCGCAACGAGATGTAGAATATAAATTCATGACGTTATAGATGCAGTTGATGTTAATACTAACACATGTAAATCAAATCGTTTTCATATTGGATGTTTTCATAAGTTACGTAACTGATGGAAACACATTCGGAAATTGATTTCGTAATAAAACAGTTTAAAAGAATGTTATCAGTAAGAAAATCAACTAAATTGACTGGTTTTCACATAAATGGATTACGTCTCGTCAAATCTAACCACAACATCGTATATCAAAATATATGCAAAACCAGATTCCATTCACTAAATTAAGGGGTACTAGAAGAGTACTCGCTTAATGTAGCGAGACATATCTCGATTTTAATGTTCTATTTTATTATTTGTCTCTGTCGATGCTATAATACGATTTTATGTGTTTTCAATAAAGCAATAATGATTTTATTTTTGAATAAAATATAAACTTAAAGATATCATAAAAATTTGAAGAAAAAAAATATATCAATGTTAATATCAAATCAACTATCTAAAAGTTCTTATTTTTTTATGTAATTTCTTTAATTTATTTTTTATTATAATTTAATTTAAGTTTAATAAYGAAATAATTTATTTTTGATTTAATAATATAACATTTTATAAATATAATAATTAAATATTCTGTTAGAACTCAATGATTATCCTAATTATATTTTAGATTTTTTATATTTAAAATGAAATGTTTATCTTGTAAGTGATTGTGTTTATCTGCAGTTAGTTCCACGAATTCAGATATGGAGCTTTAATAAGTTATACTTATTATAATCTTGAATTTTAAGTAATATGAATTAATAAACAATACATTACGCATAAAAAGTGATTTTTATCAAATGTTTTATAATATAATATAAATATGAATATTTAAAAAGCAATAAATGCTATAAAGTTGTAATAAATAAATACCACATTCAACCTTGAGATCCAAGAAATTGGAAGACCCAAAAATATCCAACTGGTAGCATTCAGCATTTTGTATATTGACCAATTACAAAGAGATGGAAGGATAGATAAGCACGTATATCTATTCAGCCACACATGGATGAGAGCAAAGTCAAACTCACAAATTCAAAGTCAACTAAGATATTAATTATAAAGAACCCCTGTGGAGCTCCTCATCCCCCACACACCCACCAGACAGAAAATGGGAAGATTAGATCAATGGAAAGGAGTGGCTGAATCAATGGAAGCAGAAGGTGGCAGCATCCATGGAGGTTTTGCAGACCATACAGCCATTATGGTCTTCTGGATTGCCTTGGTTGGCTTTTCCGTTTTCGCGGTTCTTGTCTTTTCCTGTGCCGATGGTGCTTCATCCAAACGCAACTCACATCCGGACAACCACGCCACCGCCTGCGGCGGCGGCTGTGGCGGCGGATGTGGTGGTTGACATCAATCTCCGATCGACATTGCTATAGAGATGGAAAGGTTCGATATAATGTAGATTCTTTTGTGAAAGTATTGGCTAGAAATTAAAGTGTTTGTAGTAGTTAGAAATGGCATAATTAATGGTATGAAAAAGAAATCTTGATAACTTTTGTGGCATGTTATATTTTGCATTTATGAGTAGTACATATTTTAGATTATGAATCGAGATCAGTGTCAGTGTTGGCCAAGCAGAGTGCTTTTGTTGTTGGTGTTTTTTCTTTTCCTCTGGCTACTAAGATGTTTTAGTTCGTCAGGTTAATTGAGCTTGTATAGGCATGGACGTTGCTATTGAAATAGTTGATGAAATTAAATGACAACAAATTGATATTTCAAAATTTATATTATTAAAATAAAAAAAAATAGTTTTAACCCCAAGTAGAAAAATAAAATGTTTCTCCTTTAATATTATTTATTTAATTAAATATTAATTATCTATACTATATTATAAAGCATTTGGCTAAAACTCTTAAAAACTCTTAAACTCATTCATCCCTATCCGATTTCATCTCATATATGAATTCGTGTAACTAACTGCAGATAAACACAATCAAATACAGGATAAACATCTCATTTTAAATCTAAAATATAATTAGTATAATCATTAAATYCTAACAGAATATTTAATTATTATCTTTATAAAATTTATAATATTAAACCAAAAATAAATTATTTTATTATTAAACTTAAATTAAATTATAATTCTATATTATAAATCATTTGATAAAGACTCTTAAAAACCACTTTTTATGCGTAAATACTGTTTATTAATGCATATTACTTAAAACTCAAAATTACAAATAAATTGTGCGTATGTACAACTTATTAAAGCTCCATATTTGAATT